ACATCCCCTGTTCTAAGGCCCCTCCCAGCCCTGACATCCCTTGTTCTAAGGCCCCTCCCAGCCCTGACATACCCTGACATCCCTTGTTCTAAGGCCCCTCCCAGGCCTGACATTCTCTGTTCTAAGGCCCCTCCCAGCTCTGACATTCTCTGTTCTAAGGCCCCTCCCAGCCCTGACATCCCTTGTTCTAAGGCCTCTCCCAGCTCTGACATCCCCTGTTCTAAGGCCCTTCCCAGCCCTGACCTCCCTTGTTCTAAGGCCCCTCCCAGCTCTGACATCCCCTGTTCAAAGGCCCCTCCCAGCCCTGACATGGTATGACCCTGAGAAGGCAGGTAAAGGGGGGGGGGGTGTATGTACATGAGTGGCCTCACAGCTCCTTCTGTCTCCCGCAGCTGGGAAAGAAGATTGAGACCCTGACCATGGTGTATGACTGTGAGGGGCTGGGCCTCAAGCATCTCTGGAAGCCTGCTGTGGAGCTCTATGGGGAGGTAAGAGGACGAGGACTCCTAGCTTCTGGCGGGACAGGCTATAGTGGGGAAGGGAATACGCATTCATTAAGCTCCTGCTGTGTACCAGGCATAGTGCTAAGTGCTTTACAAATATCATTCCATTTGATCCTCACAGCAACCTGTGAGGTAGGTGCTGTTATGATCCCAATTTTTACAGCGGAGGAAACTGAGGCAGACAAAATTGCAGTGACTTGCCCAGAGCCACACAGCTGGTAAATGTCTGAGGCTGGATTTAAACTCGGCTCTTCCTGACTCCAGGCTCTGTGCTCTATCCACTGGACCACCTCTAGGTAGTAAGTTCCCCATCAATGGGGGCTTCAAGTTGGGGCTATATAACCACTTGTTGGGGATATGATGCAGGAAATTCCTGTTCAGTTACAGGCTGGGCCTAGATGGGACCTCTTAGGTCCCTCCCAACTCTATTTTTTTTTTTAGTTAGGCAGTGGGGTTAAGTGACTTGCCCAGGGTCACATAGCTACTAAGTGTTATGTGTCCGAGGCCAGATTTGAACTCAGGTCTTCCTGAATCCTGGACCGGTGCTCTATCCACTGTGCCACCTAGCCACCCTTGCTCCCAACTCTTGATCTAGGGCCTACTGACCCTGGGAGAGTCAGTTAGCTTCCTTGGGACTCAGTTTCCTCATCTGTAAAATGGGGTTGGATCTAATAGTGTCTGAGGTTTCTGCTCTCTAAATCTGTGCCTCTGTTACAGAAATGTGGCTTGTTTCCTACAGTCACGGGGTTGAGGGAGACGGGAGGGGGCCGGCCAGTCGGCCTGGGGAGCTACGCTGGCGAGGCCCACTAGCTCTGGGGTCCCGAGGCAAAGAGCCCCAGGCTCTCCCACAACGTCAGCTTACCGGGCCCAGAATTGCTCGGCCTTCTTTCCTTTGGTTGAAGGCGATGCCCAGCCTCTACCCGGCTGTCCATGTGGAGGCCAGTGCTGGGGAGGGGGGTAAAGTAGGGGTCAGGCCACCCCCCAGCCAGCCCCGTCAGAGAAGGGTCAGGAAGACTCTAGGACGGGTTGGAGAGGGGGCTTGGTGCAGCCCTGCCTAGGGAGAGAAAGAGGCTAAGAATGTAACAGGTCTCTTCATTCTACCTCCAACCCACCTCCCCCCAGTTCCTCTGCATGTTTGAGGAGAATTACCCAGAGACCCTTGGACGCCTCTTTGTTGTGAAAGGTAAGTAGGGGGCCTTGAATGGTGAGGCAAGTGGGAAGAAGCTGTGGGCACATCTGCCGTGCGGAGGTCCTTGAAGAGGAGGCCCAGGGGATGGGCCTGGAGTTAAACCTTGGCTACCAGAGGGTGGTGAGCACAGCTATTAGGGTGATCACTCAGGGGCTCTTCATTCTCGTGCCTCCACTGCTGAGGGCTTCTTTTGGTCATTCAAAAACTGTTTATTAAGTGCCTGTAGTATAAAGAACACTGTGCTGGGCACGGAGGGAGATGATGATCAAATTGCAAACACTCTCATGTTTGAAAAGATCTGGGTTCAAATTCTACTTCTGACATATACTAGCTGTGTGAGGCAAATCAAATCCCTTTACCTCTCTGAGCCTCAGTTTTTTACTCTGCAAAATGGGGATAATCTTTGTACTTTGAATCCACCTTACTGGGTTCAGCTGTGTGGGTGTGAGGCTCAAATTCTGTAACGGTTACAAAGTAATTGGTAAATCTTGAAAGTACTTTAAGCACCAGATTAGGTGCTAGGGATGCAGACAAAAATGAAATCAGCTCTGTCTCTAAGGAGCTTGCATTCTATAAGCCCTCCCAACACTAAGGATAGATCAACCAATCAGCAAGCACTTATTAAGCACTTGCTGTGTGCCAGATGCTGTGCTAGGTCCTGTGAAGGGAGGGGTAGAAAGACAAAAGTGAAACAGTGCCTGCCCTCCCCATGCTTACATTCTATGAGCACTCTCAATAAAGGGGATGACAGTCAATTAATGAAACTAGCATTTATTAAGCACCTACTGTGTGTCAG